AAACTGGATCCCTTCCTTACACATTATACAAAAATTAATTCAAGATGGATTAAAGACTTAAATGTTAGACCTAAAATCATAAAAACCCTAGAAGAAAACCTAGGCAATACCATTCAGGACATAGGTATGGGCAAGGACTTCATGACTAAAACACCAAAAGCAATGGCAACAAAAGCCAAAATTGACAAATGGGATCTAATCAAACTAAAGAGCTTCTGCACAGCAAAAGAAACTACCATCAAAGTGAACATGCAACCTACAGAATGGGAGAAAATGTTTACAATCTACCCATCTGACAAAGGGCTAATATCCAGAATCTACAAAGAACTTAAACAAATTTACAAGAAAAAATCAAACAAACCCATCATAAAGTGGGCAAAGGATATGAACAGACACTTCTGAAAAGAAGACATTTATGCAGCCAACAGACACATGAAAAAATGCTCATCATCACTGGCCATCAGAGAAATGCAAATCAAAACCACAATGAGATCCCATCTCATTGTTAGTATGGCAATCATTAAAAAGTCAGGAAACAACAGGTGCTGGAGAGGATGTGGAGAAATACGAATGCTTTTACACTGTTGGTGGGACTGTAAACTAGTTCAACCATTGTGGAAGACAGTGTAGTGATTCCTCAAGGATCTAGAACTAGAAATACCATTTGACCCAGCCATCCCATTACTAGGTATATACCAAAAGGATTATAAATCATGCTATAAAGACACATGCACACATATGTTTATTGTGGCACTATTCACAATAGCAAAGACTTGGAACCAACCCAAATGTCCATCAATGACAGACTGGATTAAGAAAATGTGGCACATATACACCATGGAATACTATGCAACCATTAAAAAGGATGAGTTCATGTCCTTTGTAGGGACATGGATGAAGCTGGAAACCATCATTCTCAGAAAACTATTGCAAGGACAGAAAACCAAACACCGCATTTTCTCACTCATAGATGGGAATTGAACAATGAGAACACTTGGACATAGGGTGGGGAACATCACATACCAGGGCCTGTCGTGGGGTGGGGAGAGCGGGGAGAGAGAGCATTAGGAGATATACCTAATGTAAATGACTAATTACTGGGTGCAGCACACTGACATGACACGTGTATACATATGTAACAAACCTGCAGGTTGTGCACATGTACCCTAGAATTTAAAGTATAATTTAAAAAAATTAAAAAAAAAAAATAAATGCAAGTGGAACAGTTTCAAAAAAAAAAAAAAAAAAAAAAGAAAAAAATTGGATAAATTAGGCTTCATCAGAAAGTTAAAATTTCTCCACTAAGACAATGAACAGGTAAGCCACAAACTGAGAGAAAAATATGTGAAAAATATGTGTTTGATAAAGGACTGCTGTCACAAGATATGTAAAGAACTACAAACTGGTAATAAAAGCCCCTTTGCCTGCCAAAAAAAAAAAAAAATGGGTAAAGGATTTGAAGAGATACTTCTCAGAGTAAGATACATAAATGGACAATCAGTACATTAAAAAGTGCTCAACAGTATCAGTCATCAGAGAAATACACACTCAAACTGTTATCAGAAAATATCCACTAGAATGGCTAAAAGTAAAAATGACAATGCCAAATGTTGATGAAGCTGTGGAGCAACTGAAACTCTAATACACTGTTGGTGGAAGTATAAAATGGTACAACCTCTTTGGAAAAAAAGTCTTACTGTGTCTTTAAAAACCAAACACGGGCCTAACTCTATGACCGAACAATTTCATTCACTGCCATCTACCTAAGAAAAAAGAAAGCATTTATCCTTACAAACTTGTACAATAATATTCACAGCAGGTTTATTCACAATACCTCACAAACTAGTGACAGTCCAGATATTCACCAACATGAGAATGCATAAACAGATATGTTCATGCAAGTCTGTTCTTTCTTTATGTAGAAGCACTTTTAAATAGTTGAAGACTGATATTTCATAGTCTCTTCTCTTTAATGGTCACACACCTCAAGTTCATCCCAGCAGTTATTACAAGACATGTTTTTCAGTTCCTTCACACACCTGCCCCCTCTCCCATTACTCTCCTTTAGACATGCTCCACTGTGTCAATGTCCATTCTACAGGATGATGCCCAATACTAAAAGAAGTTCCTTATCAGTCACATCATAATATTGGCTCCTAAGAAATTCACAGGCAAATAAAAATCTCAAAATCATTTAAATGGATGGTATTATTAATCTATATTTTCCTCATTATCAATCATACCAACTGCACTACTGGCCTGCAATTCTTCATAATGTATTTTAAAAAACAGCTGAGCATAGTGGTGTGCCTGTAGTCCCAGCTACTTGGGAGGATGAGGCAGAGAGATGGCTTGAGGTCAGGAGATCAAGGCCGCAGTGCACTATGAGCATGCCTGTGAACAGCTGCTGCACTCCAGCCTGGGCAATACAGAAAATCTAGCAACTCTAGAAAGTTAACTTGAATTAATATTAAACTTGCTAATCTAGTAAGAACCCAATCTTAATCAGCCCAGTTCCTTATATGGTTAGTGCTCAAGAAAATAAAATAAAATGCACTGTGTATTAACCCCACATCTTGCATTTCCAATTCTAATCCACTGTACATGGCACTACCATTTGGATCTTAAAACACCCTTTTGAACTCCTCACCCTTCAGCCAAGAAACCATCAACCATCCATTCCTTGTTAACTCTAGCAGTCTAAGACTCTATACAATCTGAGCCTTAATTTTCTAATCCAAATGCCTACTATTCCTCTTTAATGAACCTTAATTCTTGAATATTTTAAACAGCGTTGGGTTTTTCCCCTTGTAAAATGGTACTTATGCTGTCTTTGAGTCCTAGAGTATTATCCTAACTTCTACCTTATCAAAGTCCTATTTTTCCTTTAACCTCAGCTTTCTCTCTAAAGTCTTTGACTGCAACGAGAGGATTTTTGTTTTGTTTTCTTTTAAACTTCTGTACTTTCTGTCTGAGTCACTCATTTGGAGACTAGTATATGCCATCTTAAACTGTTTGTTTGTTCAATTATTTGCTTATTTGTTTTACAAAATGTCCTGTCTCCCTGAACACAGATCATCTCAGTCTCCAGAGCCCCACTTTGGACTCAATTTGGTATAGTATTTGATGTACAGGCCCTTAATGTTGCCTGCTGATTTTGTCAGGTGAAAAAGGGCAGGAAGACTTCCAATCTCTGAATATTCATCTTGTATCAGTCACAGGAGAGGAGGGGGGTGTCTGCCAGCCAGAAAAAAGTTTGAGGCTTATACTAACATATTTTGTCAGAAGGCTCTCTGACACTCATGCTCCCACCTCCCAGAGGGCCCAGGAAATCCAGTACATATAGGATATTCCTCTCAACTGCTGGGTAGCTGGGAACAGCGGCTGTGGTTGCTGAGCAGTTGCCCAGGGCAGCTTGGCCACCCTGGAGAACCAAGAAAAAAGGGGAAATAAAGAGTTTTCCTAGGCATGCAAGCAATCACTTGAATGTTAAAAGAAAACTAGGCTTGTTGTGTTCACAGTAAATTTCCTCAATTAGAAATGTTATAACAAATTTGTCTGATGTTAATGGAAAGCATACTTATACACATATTCATAAAGTGAACATGCATCAAAGACATTTTAAAGGGTGTTCTTTGACATCATAATTTGGGTTTGTAACATAAAGAAAACAAATAGTGATTAATCAACTAAGTAAGCTTTAGGGACTTTTGTATGTTGACTGATAATGATGTATGACCTTTTCTAAGAAAAAAATGGATTTTTAATGGGTATAAACATTTTAATTTCTATTTAGTTTCCAAGCCAATTTGATTTTCCAGGCAGCATAAGAAAATGTTAAATTGTCCTTTTGTTTGTAATAAGATGCTATACAGGCATATATCTTAACATATTTTCTAAGTATCCTAGAGCAGAGAAACTTAAACCTATGGCCCATAGGGTTCACAGATTCCTTGGATCCACAGAATGGCTTCAGAATGTCTCTAAACAGCCTGAAACTGTAGGAAAAATTTGTGAATGTGCTTAGTAAAAGGGTTTATAGTTTTCATCAGATTCTCAAAGGGGTCTGTGACCTAAAAAAGATTACAACTACTTCTTAGAGATGATTTGAACCACTATCCTTGCCTACAGATATTAACAAGGAGTAGAAATGTGTAATTAAGGTATATACAGAGCTTAACCATTTTCAGGTTATACATTTCAACCAACTTGATCCAAAACTTACTTTACAACTCTACATGTAGATACGAACTTAACCTTCTCACTGTCTTATCTATGGATATTCGATTGAATTATGTGAAACTGCTGTTTTTGTTAGTGAAAAGGGTCAAATATTGGCAAATATATTCAACACACTGCAATACATTTCTGGTTTTAAGGTAGATGCTGTTTACAGAGGATATTCTATATACTAAAAGTGGTGCACAGTTATTATACAGAGCCTTAAAATTGGCAAGAAAACTTTAGTTCCCATAGCAAAAGCAGATCAGAAAAGAACATAATTTTCACATAGTAGGGGCAATCTAAAAACTCAAGATGAATGAAGACAAGCTTCTTTAAATCATGTTTAGAGATGAATCAATAATTGAAATGGAAAGTTATCAATAAATGCCAGGAATTATTATGTGAATAATAATGATAACACTCTTATCTTTTGAGGCACAAAGAAATAAATGACTTTTCCAACATTACTTAAACCAGTTTTTCATCTCCCATAAAAATAAGAAATGCCTTGCAACCATCCCTTTCATTGAAGGGCTAGGAAAGCTAAGTGAAGTAAGAAACAGGTGAAAAAAATCATTGTCTTACATGGACTGTCAGGGCCTGGCACATAGTAGGTGCTCAATTAAATATTTATTGGAATGTCTAATGTATTAAGATTCTTTGACTGAAGGCTATACATTCCTGCATAATCCTTTTAAAAGAAACACTAATGTAAATACCAGATATGTGACAAAATTCACAAATGTGTTAAAGGCAGATTTTTTTTTTGTACTTACCTCAGCAGAGTTGTGATACTGAATGAAGGTTGCAGAAATGGCATGACTGAAGGGGTCCCCTGCCTTAGTTACCATGTCTTGCCTCACAAGCAGAGCCAGATCCACTAACTAGAAGACCAGAAGAATGAAATAAAGTCACATAGCTAGTAATAATCATGAATGCCACTGAAGTGGCAAACCTAAAAGCAATACATTGTGAATGTTACTGATAATCCTGCTTGCCTAAAAATCTATATTGTAGACATGAGCACACACTTTAATTGACTGGTGAATGGACCTAGTCATGATATATTCTGACCTTTTAGGAGAGTAGTTCTCAAAATTTATTTCATAATCACTAGTGCAGATTTCTGGGCTTTAAGTCCAGAGATTCTAATTCAGTAGGTCTGTTTTAAGCATACAGTCTAGGAATTTGCTTTATTTATTTTATTTTATTTTTGAAATGGAGTTTCGCTCTTGTTGCCCAGGCTGGAGTGCAATGGCATGACCTCAGCTCACTGCAACCTCCGCCTCCTAGGTTCAAATGATTCTCCTGCCTCAGCCTCCCTGAGTAGCTGGGACTATAGGCGCCCGCCACCATGCCTGGCTAACTTTTTTTTGTGTTATTAGCAGGATGTGGTTTCACCATGTTGGCCCGGCTGGTCTTGAACTCCAGACCTCAGGTGATCTACCTGCCTCGGCCTCCCAAAGTGTTGGGATTACAGGCATGAGCCACCGTGCCTGGCCAGAATTTGCATTTTAAACAAGAACCAAGGAGATGCTGATGCTTGTGGTCAAAAGACCACATCTTGAGAAAGTCTTTTAGAGGGCGAGATTCCAGACCCAGAATTTGGTAAGTACTCTTAAGATCTCACATACGTAGAAAGGAGTTTTTCAAAGTTCAAAAATAAACTCTAAACAAGGCAGATGTGGACTTAGAGTTCAATGTCAAGAAAAAGTATGCAGGGATTCCATTTCTCATTAGGATAAAGGTGCAAGAAACTGTCTTTCTTATCCTAACACCCACTTGAATTGAGGATGCAGATACACATAACTGAACTAAATTTTAGTAAATGATGTAAATGTCACAGGAGAGAATTCATGGCTGTTATTCCTGGTAGAGCAGCAGGCAGAAGAAGAATTGATCATGGGCAGAGATAAGGAAAAAACAGCCAGTGTGGCCTGATATGACAGATTAGAATTCTTACCTGTGCCACAGTTTCATACGCTAAATATGCTAAGATTTCCATTGCGACAACATTGGGTTTTATCTCCATACTGCTGCAGTCCAACCAGTCTCGAAATTTGGAAGCTTTTTTGGCTGGTCATGTAAAAAAAACAAGTGTAGAAATTTTAATTTTTAAAGTGTTTTACTACTGCACATTACTATCACAAAATGAAAAATATGTATACTCAGAATTGTACACAAAAAATAATGCACATAAAATGCAATGTGTTCCAGCTTTTATTAATATCTAGATATTCTGGCCCCAAGAAATTCAAGTTTTAACTTTCAATTATAAGGCAACACAATGGTTGTTTTCAACAACTCTCTTACATATTTGGATTTTTTATTTTATACCTATGCTATATGACATAGTATATTAAACCATTTAATGTTTAATACTTCTCACACTGTCAGATTTACCATTGGCTACAGCTTATGTTACAACAGTCAGAAGATGTTGTCTGATGTAACCTTAATTTACTCATACAGAAAGAAAATCCTGCAAGAAAGAACCTGTGATGAAAAAAGAAACATACAGAAATTATTGCTAATACTTTTCAAAAATATTGTCTATTGTCTCAGAGGAAAATGGCACATAGGAGGCAGGATTAACTTGCAGCTCCCACTTGGATGGATAGAGCAGCGTGTGGAGACCCACACCGTGAACTCTGGCTCCAAGAACTACTGCAGGAATATACCAGAAAAGGCTAGAGCCACAGACCCCTTGAAGGAGATGGATCACCGCTGCAGGCTCTGTGGGACGCAGAGGAACTGTGAGTAGGCTTGCTTTCTCACCTAGGAAGCCAGTAGCCTGGGGAAAGTTCTCAGCCTTGCTCACCAGCTGCCTGGAAATAAACTCGGTGCTGTTACAGGAAGGGGACATGGTGGGAGTGAGACCGGGCTTTCGCTCTGTGGGCTCCATGGGAGCTGGGTGAGGCCTGTGGCTGCCGGCTTTCCCCCACTTCCCTGGCGACCTGCGTGGGGCAACAGAGGCAGCCATAATGCCCCTGGGGACATAACTCCCTTGGTCTAGAAGCCACACCCTCATCCCCCACAGCGGCCGCAGCAAGTCCCGCCCAAGAAGAGTCTGAGCTCAGGCATGCCTAACCCTGCCTCCGCCACATGGCAACCCAAACATCGTATGTTCTCACAAATGGGAGCTAAGCTATGAGAACGCAAAGGCATAAGAATGATACAATGGTATTTGGGGACTCAGGGGAAAGGGTGGGAGGGGGGTGAGGGATAAAAGACTGCACATTGGGTATAGTGTACACACTGCTCGGGTGATGGGTGCACCAAAATCTCAGAAATCACTACTGAAGATTCATGTAACTCAACACTACCGGTTCCCCCAAAAAAACCTACTGAAATAAATCCGTTTAAAAAAAGTGTCTAGGCCGGGTGCAGTAGCTCACGCCTGTAATCCCAGCACTTTGGGCGGCCGAGGCGGGCGGATCACAAGGTCAAGAGATCGAGACCATCCTGGCCAACATGGTGAAACCCCATCTCTACTAAAAATACAAAAAGTTAGCTGGGCGTGGTGGCAGGCGTCTGTAGTCCCAGCTACTCATGAGGCTGAGTCAGGAGAATCGCTTGAAACCGGAAAGCGGAGGTTGCAGAGGGCCAAGATGGGGCCACTGCCCAAGAGTGAAACTCTGTCCGCCCCGCCCCCCCCCCCAAAAAAAGTGTCTATTACTAGAATGGCTCAAAGGTGTTGTAAATTTAAAGTTAAATAAAATAAACTGACATCTGGTCTAATCTAAGCCTGTGGTTACATTTTTTCTGATTATGAAGATGTCTAAATTCTTAATCCTGACTCTCAAAACCATTGAGACTGATTCCAAGCAGCCTTTGTGATATTTCCCTATTAAACCATCACCTGGCCTTGAGTCTTCTTCTCTGTGTGTCTACTCCTACTCTTTTCCTTCCAGGGGATGCTCTCCCATCACTCTTCTTCATTCCCATGAATCTTGATCATACAGGCCAAAGGTGTACTTCCCCACTCTAGCCATTTATTGAACACTGATACCATCAGACATTCTTTCACAAATGCTTATAATTTCTTAAGCCATATTACAAATTTTTGTGGGAGAAGACCATGCCTTATGTCTCTGCATGTGTAATAGTACCAAGCATATACAGAACCAAGCACGTATATAACCTTTAGTTAAATATCTCTACACTGCCACAGTGCTAAGCAGAGTCTAATTTGATATAGGCACTTCATTAGACATTATTCATCTAACTAGTAACCTAGAGGGAAAGATTGATAGTGAAGATTTTATGAAATCTATAAGATTTTCTTTATAATCCACTGATTATTCTTTTGATTAATCTGGCCCCACAGGTCTATAAAACACTTAACAGTAACTCAAAGCACGATATTGTGATCCTTCTATATAGAATCTTCAAGGATTCCACATACAGAAGAGTTCTCTTTTAAATAAATCATAGAAAACATTAAGTCCTGCTATCGAAGCATATACCCAAAGCTGTCAAATATGGCAGAATTATGATAATCCTCCTTAAAGCTATCTCCCCAAAGTAACAAATCTTCCAAATACTTTCTGACATGCAACATTCCATCTAACTAGTATGCTGCAATAGCTCACAAACACTTGTTTAACATCTGTGGAATACTTCTGAAGTTAAAGTTAACAGGCAGCAATTTGGCAAGATCAATGAGATGTACATTATTCACTTATCTCCTTGACAGATCTTTAGGACAGAAACAGATATTTTGGAACTGTGCTCTAAACATTTGATTTTAAAAGTGAAGGAAAGGATCATTATTAATATTCAGTTGGATCTATCCACATAAGCAACAGAATTAGCTTCCTTGCTAGATTGTAACCATTGAGAATGCAGGGACAAGGACCATATATCTCCAACTGTATCCCTAGCACCTAGAATAATGCCTGGCATTAGCAGACTCACAAGAAATATTTCCAGAAGAAATGAATAAATGAATGAATAAAGTATTTTTTAAACAAAAGAGTAGGGTCCAAACTTTTCTATTCATCAAAAGACATGCATAGAAGTCCCAAAAACCACTTGGGTTATTGCCATTCCACCAAGAGGTGGAGATTCCTTGAGAGCTAATTCCTTCCCTGTCACCTGGAGAAGGATGGCTTTAGAGCCTGACGCTTCCAAGGTATTGCTGGAGGCACAGATACCTCTAGTTAAGACAGTTTGCTTTCATCAAGAGGTGAGAGGGGCCTGAGAATAAACAAGTTCCTTCTCCTTCGCCCCTCTTCCCAACGTATCAGGAGAAAGGATAACCTGGAAACTGACTAACAATTTAAATAGAATCCTGAGCAATGGTCAAAAGTTCCTAGGATTATTAGCTTTGTAATACTACCTGGATTTTCAGCCTGTGCTGTGCTGAACTTAAAAAACAACTTTACATGATAATTTCATATGGAAATTTAGGGTTAATCTCACATACTTTTTATCTTTCTTGTCAATGATCACTAATAAAATTTAAGTTTCTTGCAATATTCCATTCTCTCATGCCTACATACTATTTGGTGATTTCTATCCCATCCCTTCCCAACAGTCTTTCCATTCCCAGTCCTTTCCTTAGGGTCCTCTGGAATGCTTAGTCCACTCAGAATAAGCTACTCTGCAATTTCAACCTAATTCAAAATAGCCTTCTTCAGAGGGCATGGTTTTCCCTGGAACCTTCCCTAGCAGGAGTTCCTTATTCCTTTCCTTTATACATATTGATGGGCAACTACTTTGGCCAGTGTGCTCATTTCCCCATATAAGGGGGGACCTGGAGTCAATGTCTTCATTCTCTTAGTTTCTTCCACAGGAAAAATACATAACAAGCAGACTGACAGCAAACTTCTACCAACAACAGGGGCCAAAAGACAAGGGAATCATGTTTTAACAAGTAACGATCAGCTTACCATTTCCTACCCAACTAAACAATCATTTAAGTATGAGGGCAAAATAAAGCCATTTAAGATAAAAAACGGTGTTTTAAGCATGTACAGAGCTGTAGGAAAAAATGACATTAGGCCAAGAAGCAAAGTTTAAATACTTATAAATGCTTTTTTTTTTTTTCTTTTTTTGAGACGGAGTCTCGCCCTGTCCCCCAGGCTGACAGTGCAATGGCGCAATCTTGGCTCACTGCAACCTCTGCCTCCCAGGTTCTAGTGACTCTCCTGCCTCAGCTTCCCAAGTAGCTGGGATTATAGGCGTCCACCACCACACCTGGCTAGTTTTTTTTTTTTTTTTTTTGTATTTTTGTATTTTTAGTAGAGACAGGGTTTTACCATGTTGGTCAGGCTGGTCTCGAACTCCTGACCTTAGGTGATCCACCTGCCTCGGCCTCCCAAAGTGCTAGGATTACAGGCGTGAGCCACCATGCCCAGCCAAATACTTACCAATTTTAAAAACTTTAAGTCATGGATGTATATCAAAAAAAGCAACTGAAATAGTACAAAGAGAATATAGGACTTACAAACTAGCAGAGGAAAAAGAAATGAAGAAAACCCAATCGATCTAATACAACATAAAAAAGGAGGAGAAAAAGCAAATTAAAAAGCACAGTAAATTTAAAACACAAGACAGCATATACAGTATCAGTAATTAAATCCATATAAATTAATCAATTAAAATACACAGAGCCTCTCTGATTACAAAGAAAATTGAGAGAAAATCAAATATAAAATAAAAAGTTGAAAGTAAAGGACTGGAAAATAATTTACCAATTATATATTTTAATTATAAATTATAAATTATAATTTAAATTATTATAATTATTCTTTAATTATAATTATGAGGTTTGTGTGTCAATATTAATATCAGATTTTAAAAGACTTTAAGAGAAATAACTCTCTGACTTATATACATATAAAAACAAAAGACTGAATTGTGAATTAGATTAGTGTGCTCATGCTACAGCTTACCCTCAGCCTATAAAGTTACAGACTCATTATTCTAAAATATACCAGTAATTCCAGGGATGGCTATGATCAAATACTTAAGAAGATACATATGGCAGGACCACAATTCCTGTATCTTGGTAATTTGTTAGAAGGAGAAGAATGAAAAGAGTATAACACTCTGATGAGTGCAGGAATAGCTTCCGAATTTGCTGACCCACATGGATTAAAGCATTCTCAACCACAGTATTTTGTCATATAAAACAGATTTCCCCACCAAGGTTTCATAATAAAGCAGCTATGGGCACCATATATAAGTAGTTTTAAATGACCAAATCCTTCCACTCTAAAGACAAGAAAATTAGACACAATATACTGTTTATACTATAGTTATTTTATATAGGAAGGGAAAATATTATTTTTTAATCTACTATAGTTTATTATTGAGTTAAAAATAAAACATGGGCCGGGTATGGTGGCTCACCTGAGGTCAGGAGTTCAAGACCAGTCTGGCCAACATAGTGAAATCCCGTCTCTATTAAAAATACAAAAATTAAATGGGCGTGGTGGTGCACGTCTGTAGTCCCAGCTACTTGGGAGACTGAGGCAAGGAGAATCACTTGAACCCAGAAGGAGGAGGCTGCAGTGAGCCGAGATCGCACCACCGTACTCCAGACTGGGCAACACAGTGAGATTCCATCTCAAAAAACAAACAAACAAAAAAAACAAGAACAAAACAAACAAAAACAAACAGCCAAAAAAACATGAAGTAACTGAAAATCTGATTTTCAAAGAGAAGGCATACTAGGATACTTTAAGACTATGAGTTTTAGTGTGAAAGTAGTATATCTGTTCCTTTAAGTGAATTAAATTTAAAATATAATTTAAAAAAATAGTTCAACTGCACTAAATGTTACTTTATAAACTGGAGGTTGATACTTATAAAGACTTGAATGCCATTTTTAAACCTAAAAATTACAATACAAAACCTTTCATTTGCTGAAATTGCCATGATCTGAAGTGCCATTTACTTAATGCTTCACAGATGTATGATGCCAAGTTGTTAGTCAAATTGGAAAGTATATTTAGTCAGAAAAAAAAAATCTTCCAAAACATGTTTTCCTATATTTTACTGACATTTACATGGGATACTATGAAATGTGTCATTTATTTGCACTTTATAATCTATAAATGAAGCTCTCCCTTTCTTTTTCCAAATCAAATATGCTGTTATTGTGACCACATAATAGCTTTTCATTTGAAGACACCATTGTTTCTATAATCCCTCAGACCATGGTCATGTGCTACTTTGTCATATTTTTAACTGGACTTTTCATCACACTTTCTTCTTTGACCTTTACCCTGAGAGCCTTAGTCATAACTGAAACTTTGCTGTAAGGATGTTTTGCTACACAATCGAGCTCACTATTATGAGTCATTATACACTTTTAATAAGCTGATGTGCAGTGATGTGAAAGTACTAATTTTACCACAAGGTTACTAGTGTTACTAGAGCATGTACTAATAAATCTGGCTAACACTGAATACATACCACAGTAGGTTAGACAAAAATGGAAGAGACCACTGATATGTTCCTTTGTGGTAATAGGAGTATACATAAAGGAAAAGGTTGGTATCCATAATTAATATTGGGGGCCTTTAAATGTCATGACTACTATCAGAGTCTGTTATGGATCAAATGCAATCAGAAATACTAGTGTAAATATGACTAGGAAACTAGAAATTAAAATGGAAATAATAAGAAAAATTGAATTTTTATGATTAAAAGTACTGTAAATAATTAACATAGCACTCTGTATATTACCAGTACCCTTTAAGACCTCTTAATGTTATTAATTGCAAAGCAGTAGAAGGTAGGAAAATCTTTTATAGGCTCCCCACAATGTAGAGATTGTTTCTATAGCAGTTACAAATACACATATATTAAATTCACCAATTTCTAAGAAACAGATCCTGTCATACTTCAGTACATCTATAAGACAAATCTCTTACGCATATAATTAAGCAAAGTTAAATGGTTACTTACAGAAACTTAGTTGTCGACTTTCACAGAATTCTGCATATTGAGCTGAATCCATAATTCGAGTTTGTCTTTCTGCTCTCTAATAGATAAAAAGACAACATTTTTTAAAGCAAGTAGACTATTATATATGTTTTCACAGCTTAAACTTAGAATTGACCATTTTCCTTTCCTTATTCCAGGTGAACAGGGTAGTACTATCACATAGATCATGACACATAAAATTACGATAACACTAGTTGTGAAGCTGGTGTCTTTTGGAAATAAAGTTTAAATACTACTTTCTGCTCCTTTGTTATTGAAACTAAAACTAAAGGACCTCATGTCTAAATTTTCTAACTTGTATCATCCTTTTAAAGAAAAAGAAAATGATGAGGGAATAATAAACCAAGCAGAAAAATTGTTACAAATATTACTGTCAATGTGCTTTAAAGCTGTGATGTTCAATGTTAAACAAGAATCGGCAAATGGAATCCATATATTATTCCCTTTCAGTTAGAATCTGGGGCCACAGTTGACAAATCCATATTTTAGATTGCAAGAAAATAAAGAAAAAGGTAAACAAAATACAGATCCTTTAATCTGAGTCCAGGTATGATTCATTTGGTATAGTTTCATTTGTGGAGTTTTTGATTCAGTATAGCAGATGTTTACTGCTTCACTGTCCCACAAGAGGTAGGATAATTATAATTCATCCATAGTTTGGTGGGAAGGAATATGACCACTTCCGCTTCCTTGGTAAGGAGAGCATTTTGAAATGAGACAGGCTGGTACTTCTTGGAATGAATTTCTGCCCAGCGAAGAAAAAAAAAAATCTCAGATTTAATTTTTTTTTTTTTTTTTTCTGTTGTGGAAGAACTTTCAGCAAGTTGTCTTTACCATCGTTGTTGGAGCACATAAGTACCATTTCTTCTAATGTCTGTGGATGTTTTTTATTTTTGAAACAGAAATTATTCTTTTTTCTTTTATTTGTGTGAGTAGTCAATTCCAGTGATATGTCAGTTGATGGAATGAATAATGGTGTACTAACTGGAGCTTAATAGAGAATACAGACGGGGCAGTGGGAGTTAAGGTAAAAATTACTAGTCACTACTGTGGTTCCTTCTAAGACCACTGACTGCTTTTCCCCTTCCTCATTTTCCGCCTCCCTTTTTTCTTTCCCTCCCTCTCTCCCTTCCTTCATTCCTTACCTCCCACACATCCACATACTCACAAACATACATATATGCAGGCACAAATGCAAGTTTCTCTTGGTTATTTACCCACTAGGTTCAAGTATCCTTTTTGGGCATGTACAAACATTTTAAAAATATATATAAAAAGTATATATGTATGTGTATACACATAAGGTATATATGTGTATATATACACACACATATATAAAGATAAATATATAAATTACACAACTATACACAAATTTATCTTTTTTTATATATACACAAATACACATATATGTATATATGTATGTACATATCTTCTTGTGCATGTGTCAGAAATACCATGGTCTTGGCTGGGTGTGGTGGCTCATGCCTGTAATCCCAGCACTTGGGAGGCCCAGGCAGGTGGATCACTTGAAGGCAGCAGTTTGAGACCAGCCTGGCCAACATGGCAAAACCCTGTCTCTACTAAAAATACAAAAATAAGCTGGACGTAGTGGCACAGGCCTGCAATCCCAGCTACTTGGGAAGTGCAGGCAGGAGAATTGCTTGAACCTGGGAGGTGGAGGTTGCAGTGAGCTGAGATCACGCCACTGCACTCCAGCCTGGGTGATAGAGTGAGACACTGTCTCAAAAAACAAACAAACAAACAAACAAACAAACAGACAAACAGAAAACCATGTCTCCTTAAGAGTATATTATTGGGTTAATTTTTATTTACTTGGAAGTATTTTTTGATATATAAATGCATGATCTAGTTTTAGCCCTCTTTCTAATGTATCTGACACATGACTCAATAAATGTTTCCTGATGAAAATAGGAAGCAAGAAAGGGAGAATTTATTTATGTGTTTTGAACGTTACAAAAAAGTTGCAGCTGGGCGTGGTGGCTCATGTCTATAATTCCAGCACTTTGGGAGGCTGAGGCAGGTGGATTACGAGGTCAGGAGATTGAGACCATCCTGGCTAACATGGTGAAACCCGTCTCTACTAAAAATATAAAACATTAGCAGGGCTTAGTTGCACGTGGCTGTAGTCCCAGCTACTTGGGAGGGTGAGGCAGGAGAATCGCTTGAACTCGGGAGGTAGAGGTTGCAGAGAGCCGAGATTGCGCCACTGCACTCCACCCTGGGCAACAGAGGGAGACTCCGTTTCAAAAAAAAAAAAAAAAAGCTCATGTGTTTATTTAAATAAACTCTCGAAGACTGATAATACTATCATAAATTTGTATCTATATACATATGCTTGTATATTATATACCTGCTTGTCTATGTCTCACTATAGCAGGAACCACTCAGGTTTGAATTTCTAGCTCCTAGGAAAATATCTGACACATGGTAAATAAGCAATAAACATTTGTTGGATGAAAAAATGCTACCGTTTTATTCCACAGGGTAAATAACTATCCCCATAATGGAACTAGATCGAGAATGATTATCTAATGATTCCTACATACCATCTCTGCTACTCTCCAGCCTGGTAGCCTCCTCCACCCAATATATGGCTAGACAGAAAGGACCTGGATAACCATGGAAAAAGAATGTTCCTAAAGGGATTCTTAACACCAACTTTTTATTCCACCAAGTTGGACAACCAAGATTTGGCAGCCTCTGCATATATGCTTACATAGCTGATGTATTGGCAATAAGAAATGAGTTTTTCTAGAAATGAGAGTTAGGAAAATTTATCGTCAGAGGTTAAGGTTGCCAGAATTGCCAGCTACAATATTTCAAAGATAACCATAAACATCTGAAAGACTAAATTATTATGGCTAGCTTCATTCCTTTCAGATACCCTCTCCAATGCCTATTCTCTTTTCTTCATTAAGCATCCTAGTTCTTTTTTAATTCCTCCAGCATCGAAGCAGTAAACTTTGATCTGAGGAGCCCCAAAAATCTGACCCTAGGGTATATATAAGAAGTCATTTATCCTGTGCCTAGCACACAGGAAACACTCCAAGCAAAGCAGCTGACTCAACAGCAAAGACTTACAGACAATACAAAATCATGGCTTAGAGATAGAAGGCAGCTTAAAGTTTATCTTGTTCAAACCTTTTCAATTCAAAGATAAGGAAGTTGAGGCTCAGAGAAGTGATTTGTCAAAGGTTGCCTAAATTAGAATTCAAGCCCAGGACTCCCAATTCCTAAGTCAGCCTATTTTCATTATAAAAAGCTGTCTTCAACTAATGGTAACTTTTTATTCCAATGTTTTCCTTTGGGATGCTCTAAGTTTCATATATTGTCTTACTAAAACATGTCATGTAGCCCCTACAATTAACATGCTCAAACTATTCATAAGAAAAAGAAATTAGCGAGACCCTGGGTCAGCAAATAATGTACAACCTGGGGGTAATCTAATGCAGAGTGCAGAAACTGTAGTGTATCTGATAGTGCAAGCACGTCACAGGTGTGAAGAGATACTGCTTCCATTCACTCTCTGGATGCTGAACAAGGCTGAGGCAGAACTCCTAGGCTGGTATCTGCTACCAGCTGCCTTGTCCATTTACCTTGGTGGGTGATAAAAATATTATTATTTTCTATGTGAGCTATGATGTGAGAAAGACTGGAAGCACTGTACTAATACTAATGTCCTCGAATATTACATGATATAACACATGAATGCTATTCACAGCATGGTCAAGGGAGTTCATGAAATCAGAGAATCTTTGAGCTATATATGCACTGACTTGGATTTAAGGATGATGAAGATGATTTGGATATGCTTATCACCTAATTTTTGTTTATTCCTCTCTCTTCCCCCAAATTGTTTAAAAACAAAACAAAAAAAGGAACAAATTTTGGCTGAAGATGAAGATGATTTGGATATGCTTATCATCTAATTTTTGTTTATTCCTCTCTTCCCCCTGAATTGTTTCAAAAATACAAAAAAAGGAAGAAATTTTGGCCATATGATCCAAATAATTCAACATCTGAGTATTATATTTTCTCCTGTCCTTCCACTATCATCTTAAATACTGAGAAAGGGAGTAAATATCTAACTTTCATGAACGGTATGTTCTCTAAATACAGGAACCGTGCTGCTCTTCTAGAGTGCTGAGGCAATGCTGTGCTTGGATCTGCCTGGGCCTTACTAGCTGAAACAAGGGACAACAAATGGATGGACTGAGACAAAAGAAATGCATTTAAGTACGTGTTGAACGGCCTAAGACCAGAAACGGTAAGAATTAGGATCAAACTGTAATCCAATTTTACAAATCCCAGAGAGATGAGGCAGTTTTTAAGACAAAAATCCATTAAAAAAATCAACACAGTGGTCAAATATTAAATAAGTGTGGCTCTTATTTACTGTGGTACCCTAATTCTACTTTCTTGTCTGCCTCTATTCAGATCACCCATTCTGATCCATACTAAAGTATACATTGGCAGTCCTTTTCTACTCCTTGAAGAAATCTGTGGAGAAAGATTCATGGGGACAATATCATAAGCCTAGTAAAACATCATGATCAGAATAATGCTCACTCTTTGAGATGGTTTTATTTTTAAAATGAACATAATTATTTTTTATTTTTATTTTTAAAATGAAGCTAATAAAACTGCTTACTCTTTGAGATGGTTTTATAAAATAAAATTTATAAAATGTTTATATTTATATACATATTTAAAATATTTATAAAATAAAACCATCTCAATAAAGAGTAAGCAGTTTTATTAGTTTCATTTTACAAATGAAGACACTGATTTAGAGAACTTAAAGGAAAACTTTAAAAGTATACAGCTAATAAAGAGGCAAAACTAGAAGTAAAACTTGGGTCCTACCTACTCTAAGGTACACAAAGTTTCTCAGAAAAGACTTACTATTCTAGATCATATTAATTGTAATGAAGGTTGTACTCCCTCCCTTTAGGCTCTAGTTTCTTTTGAACTAAATATTACAATGCAAACTTAATTTTAAAAGAGTTACTTTGG